ACCTCAAATTGAAATTGTTGTAAGATAATTTTCCATCTAATGATCCTTTTACTATCTTTTTCCTTTGTTGGCTGATTTAATAACCATTGTAATGCAGAATGGTCAGTATATATAATAAATTTATTATCCTCTAAGTATCTTCTAAAATACTTTACTGCCCATACTACTGCTAAGGCTTCCTGTTCAGTAATATGATAATTTTTCTCTGCTGGACTTAACGTTCTACTTGCGTACCAAATAGGATGTTCTCTATTTTCATCATCTTTTTGTGATAGCACTGCTCCTAGTCCTGTAGTACTAGCATCGGTACTTAATATGAATGGTCGATTAAAATCTGGATAATATAATATTGGAGCAGTTGTCAATTTTTCTTTTAATATTTCAAATATTTCTTGATGTTGTTTTGTCCAATTATATGTCATATCCTTTTTCAGTAAATTATTCAAAGGAGCCACTAATTTGGAAAAGTTTTTAATAAAGCGTCTATAATAAGAGAATAACCCTAATATAGTTCGTAATTGTTTAATATTAAAAGGGGCATTAAGGTCAACAATTTTCTCAATTTTTCCTGGATCCGGTTGTATTCCTTGATCAGAGATGACATGTCCTAAGAATTGAATTTTATTATTACAAAAATGGCATTTCTCTGGATTGATTTTTAGTTGTGCTTCTCTTAACAGGTCAAATACTTTTTGGATATGTTGTAAATGTTCCTCATAACTTTTGGAAAATATGATGATATCATCAAGATATACCAACACAAATTTATCTTTTACATGTCGTAAGATGTCATCCATAGCTCTTTAGAACGTGGCAGGTGCATTGTATAAGCCAAAAGGCATAACATTAAATTTGAATAACCCATGTTTTGTAATGAATGCTGTCTTAATTTTGTCTTGTTCTCTAACTTTAAATTGCCAATATCCTGAGGCTAAATCTAGAGTAGTATACCATGTTGCTTTTTCTAATGATTCTAATAGCTCGTCGATTCTCGGTAAAGGATATCGATCCTTAATTGTGACATCATTCAATTTTCTATAATCTACACAAAATCTCATTTTTCCATTTTTCTTTCGTACAAGTACGACTGGTGAACTCCATTGACTTCGTGATGGTTGTATTATTCCTTGGTCTAACATATTTTGAATTTCCTTTTGAATGTATTGGTCATCTTTGTTCGATGTCCTGTATGGTTTCAAGGCGACAGGGGGTACTTCTTCAGTAAATATACAATGTTCATGTTGATCAGAATGGGTAAGCTCTTGTATTGTAGTAGCAAAACTGCTAAGATTTCTGTTAAGGAAATCCTTTAGTTGATTTAAAAATTTTTCAGACAAGCTTCCACAGGTTGTATATTTTTCTAAACTATTGCCAATTTCAATGCGAACATCATTTTCTTCAATTTGAACCTTATAAGTAGATTGTATTTCCATACTATTCCTATAATATTGATAGGTACAAACATCCTTTAAAATTTCTTTACAATCATCACATTGTTCTTGATTTTTCAAGCTTTTAAGACACCAACATGTAGCTGGTCCCTTCCAATCTCTGGTTTGTTGAATATCTGTCTCGTATTCTAATTGTTGCAGATATATCTCAGGATAGTCTTTTCTATTTATATGAATAGTATGTTCTTTTTCTTTAGGAATAATAGCGAAACATTGTTGAATATTAATATTCTCATCCTCATCTTCAAATTCCAATTCTTCTGTCATTATTTTTGTTTCTATAGGTGTGAATTTCCCTGGATTAATACTCTGGGTACAAGTTACTGGCGCTATAGTGGTTTGTCCTTCTTGTTGTACTACTAAGGTACTGGCATCATAGTCAATAATGGCTTTAACTTTCTGTAACCATGTATTACCCAATATAACGTTATATCCCATAGCATTAGTCACTAACATGTCTTCATTAACAATTATCCCATTTACATCTACTGGAATTCCTTTAATTATTCCTAAGGGTATCATAATCGTACCATCTACTCCTATAATTTTTGTTTTTGCTGGTTCATCAATTGTTTTGTTAATTTGCCTTAAATATCGTTGAGTGATAATACTTCCTACAGATCCAGTATCCACTAAAGCATTTACATCATATCCGTTGATCTTTGCATCAGTAAATAAAGCTTCCTTGACTGGTTCTTCCCGAGTTGT